GAGGCGCGAGGCGGCGGTGGATGCCCGCGGGCCGGCAGTTCTGACTAAAAGAGAGCTGGAAGGGCCTGCTGGCCCGGACACCACGCGGAGGCAGAGCGCTGCCCGAGCCGCAGTTGAAGAAACCGCTCTCGGTCTGGACGGAGGCGGAGCAGACTACCCGGCAGAGCCAACAGAACAGCCTCAAAATGCCTCAAGTCGTCCTGGGACAGCCCCCGGCGCGAGGCACTCTGGGACTTGTAGTTCGCTTCCCGGAGCGCGCTCTTCCCACCTCGCCTCCCCGCCTTTTAATGTGGCTTTTCTTCCCTTCCCCTCCCGGCACGCCGACTTCCTGGTCGCTGCACGTCCTCACGTACGACTACACTACCCAGAAGTCTCTTCTCCGCGTCCTAGCGAGGGCGGGCGCCGGCGGCTCTTTCGGACTACAGTTCCCAGAAGCCCTCTAGAGAAGTGCTTCCTCCTCTCATTTCCAGGACCCCAGTTCCCACAGACTTCGGCTTCACGGCGTTTTCCTCTTTGCATGGTCTCATCTGGGGCTGGCACGGTCCGCGGCCGGCCAGCCGACTCACAGCGACAGCGTGATCCGTCGTGACCCGACACACGGCCTCCTCGGCGGCCCGCTTTCTCTCCCCTCAGTTGTCCCTCTCGCAGGCCGTCGCGGCTGGCCCGAGCGGTGACCTGGCGGGCCGCGCCTGCGCTCTGCCCCGTTTCCTGCCTGGCTGGTGGCGGCGGCCATTTTGTTCATCCTCCTCCTCCTCCTGCTCCTCCTGGTTGGAGCGCAGTGTCCGGAGCGGGCTGGGGGGAGAGAGCCCGAGAGCTGGGTTCGGTGCCTTTTCCTCTGTCCCCAGCCGGTGCCCGGAGCCCCCCTCCCCCTCCTCCCCACCCCCTCCCCTCCCCAGCCCTGCCCTCCCCCTTGTCCCGGGATCGCTCCGTCGCACCCACCATGATGGAAGACGACGGGCAGCCCCGGACTCTGTGAGTACCGAGACCAGGGGTGCCAGGCGCCGAGAGGCTCGGCACCGCGGGACGCTGAGGGAGGGCGCAGGAGAGGGGGCCGCAGCCGGGACTCTCGGCGGCTCCCGGGCCGGGGGGGCGTGGACGCGAAGGGCATTCCTCATCTGCCCCTTTTGCCTTGGGAAGGAAGCCCTCCCTTCCCCCAGACAGCCGCTTCCTGGGGTCTGGGGCTCGCCTCGACCTTTTCCTCTCGCGCCCTTCTCTGCACACTTTCCCCGGGCCGGGTGTCTGCAGCGCTGAGGCTGTCAGGCCCCGGAGAGCTCCTTCTCCCCCTCTGCTTCG